TTTTTTTTTTGCAAATCATCTGATTTGATTTAAAGATGCATGGCTGTGCAATCATTTGAATGATTATAAGTATTGTATAATTAATCAGACTCTCACTGATGACAGCTGTGCCACTCCCACTGATGTCTGGGTTTGACGGGCAGAAAGTCATTTGTTCCCATGTTTCTGACCTTCTGTGGGAAGCGCAGCAGAACCCTGTAGTCGATGTCTCTGACTGTGGGTCTGTATGCAGAGCTGAAAGATGAAAGACAGCAGAAGATGAGCTCATGGATCATTGGGTCACAAGAGGTCATGCACCACAAAAAATAAGTTTACTGAAATCAAGATCTTTTCTCTTTACTAACGTTCACTTTTCATGATGTTTGAAGTCTCAGTGTGTTTGAATCCGCTGGTGCTTTAGTGGTTTTAGTTGAAGTATGAAGTCAAGTTCACACAAGGGTCATAGTAGAAGAAACCACCGGAGTAAAGAAAATGTATTATAACATTCAATGAAATCATACAATGCATTATAAGGTGCTTAATTAATGCATTAAAATACTTTTATAATGCATTATATTTAAAGGCTTCAAGTAAATTGTTAGGGTCTTAGAGTCAAATGTTTAGCTTTGAGTGTGTGTTTGTACATCATTCTTGTACAATAAATGACATTTTCTTTGATATTTTGTATCTAATGAAATGATTTTCAAAAATTTTTAACCCTCATGTTGTGTTCTGGTCATTTTGATTCGGAAAGGATTTTCTTTTTTCTGAAATGCTAGTTAATGCTATCGTATTGGTCTAAAACTTACTGACTTTGCTCACACCCAAAAACATTATAATTTTAGTACTTTTTGGGGATTTTATTCCCAACTTGTTATACATGTGGTGTTCCTGGTCAAAAATGGCCGACCTACAAAAAATGGCTTATAATTGTCTCATTATGCTATATTATGACCATATATTGGATTCAATCTTTTTATCAACTTGTTTTCTTTGAATTAGCACAGATTTTCTATTTCTTTTTTGCAAATGATAGGTTATCTGAGCTTATGTACTCCATTGCCAAAATTATTCACAAATAATGTTTTGTTTTTTTTTTATAAAAAACATAAATTCAGATTATAATATTATAATAAATCCATTCAGGAATGTTTGCTCAACTCTCTTCATCACTGAACAAACTGGTGTCTCATTAGTTTTGTTAAAGCAAAACAGGCAAAAGTGCATGTTTTTGGAGAGCGTTAGACTATGTTTGATAATGTTTGATCAAATACATTTACATGAAAAGTATAAAACGTGTCTAGTTTCCCTACAATGGGGTTCTGGGGTGAACATCTGGAAATGTTTGAAAAAAAAAAATAGATTTAGGAAAAAATGCTGTAATTAAAGCAAAAGAGAGACGCAAAACAGATACTATAAAACGTTCTTTAATTTATGGAATATAGGCCTTTACGTTTTTTAGAATTCTGAAAAAAAATTTTTTTTAATAAAAATGCTGTCATAAATGCAAAAGACAGACAGAGAACAAATATATAAAATATTTACGGTTATAGGATCGTACGTTTTTCAGGATTCTGGCAAAAATGTAAATAAAAAAAATAAAAAAGACAGATTTGGAAAAATGTTCTTTAATTTATGTGATTTATGACCGGAACCAAATTAGGTAGGTAAATTAGCGTGACTTGTGTCTAAATGCTTTTTATGGTCGCTGTAAATCTACACAGATGATAACTCATAACGCACCGCGCCAGGCAGTTCTCCTCCGCCGCGCACCGGAGCGCGTACATCTGGACGCGCTGGATGTATGAGCCTGCCTGGATGGAATATGGATCTGGCACAAGATCAGGAAGACCTGCAGTAGAGCACAACACAAGCACACTGAAAACAGTCTGTTTTAAAGAAATCCCACACATCCCCCCATATGTTGAGGCTAAAATCGTCCATTGCGCGCAGCTCACCGTTTTGGAAGTATCTGGTGCCGTAACCGGTGCCAGGCGGCGCGCGGCGCGGGATGACCGTCCTACCGTCGGGCGGATAGATGTTATAGAAAACCGTATTCCTGTTTCGCGGATCTTCTCCCGCCATACTTTCAGACGTGGTTCCCTGCTCCACATTTGGCGTTTGCGCTCTGGAGAGCCCCGCTTCATTATAGTTTCCATTAGTTAAAGTGTTTGAATTCTCCGTAGGCGCTTCCAGGTGTTGGAAATTGGCAACCGCTGGCGCCCTCCGAGCGGTATTTTCCCCTTGTGCCGAGGTTCTTCTGCCGCCGGAGTATTCGGACGGAGCGCTGGCGTTGGATCTGGTTCCTGGAGGTGCTCTGAGCCGCTGACGCACCTGCATTTGTCTGGCGCCAGGCGCGCGGCTGTTGGCCGCGATGTATTGCATGCGGTCCGGACCCAAAAGCGTGGTGCTGCCGCTATTAGTGGCCGCAGAATCAGACGCTTCCACTCGAATTTGCATGGTCCTGTCCCGGACAGCATCTCTATTGCTGCTTAGAAACACCCTGGACTGTCTTCTGGACGCCACCGGTGCGTGATACTCCGAGCCGGTGCTCATTAAACTGAACACCTGGCCGTTATTCACCCACTTGATCCGGTTCCTCCAGGGCGCGGAGTTTTGCGCGCTGATAAAGTTATTCAGTCCTAGAAGTAAATAGAAAACCAAAAGCAAGTTTGGCATCTTGAGATGGGTTTTAGAGCTGGACGGTCACTGATATGGGCTCCCAGCACAGATGTTCCTCTGCCAGTGGATGTGGCACTCTGAGGTGCGTGAACGGCATAGTCCGGATCTTCCTCCAGATACTGGAAACGGACCGAAGGGCAGCGGACGGACCTTTATCAGATTGTCGGAGTTCAGGCGCGCATGCACGGTCAGGGATACTCGCGCTTAACTCTTTCCTCGCCGAACGAACTGGTGGCTCATTGGTTTTGTTAAAGCAATGCAGGCAAGTGTTCATTGGAGAGAGTTAGGTTATGTTTGATACATTTTCAAAATTTACATGAAAATTATAACGTATCTAGTCTGTGCAATGGAGTCCCGTGGTGAAAATCTGGAAAATAAATAAATAAAAACTGCATAAGTAAATAAAAAATAAAATAAATTTAAAATGCTGCCATTAAAGCAAAAGAAACAAACCAAATACTATAAAACGTTTTGTAATTTATGGGAACTTATAATTAAGTTTTTTAGAATTCTTACAAAAAAAAATGCAAAAGAGAGAGAAGCTACCACTAAATATTGTAGAAACTTAATTTGCTGTAAAGTTGCTTTGCAACGATTTGTATCGTGAAAAGCGCTGTACAAATAAACTTGAATTGAATTGAATTGAATTGAATACAAACGATAAAACTTATTAAATTTATGGGATATATGCCTACAAGTTTTCAGAATAAAAAAAAATTTAAAATAAAAAAGATTTTGAAAAGAAAAATGCTGTAATTAAAGCAAAAGAGAAATACAAAATAAATACTATAAAACTTTCTGTAATTTATGGGATATAGGCCTATATATTTTTCAGGATTATGGGAAAAAAATTAAAAAGATAGATTTTTTTGAACAACAACAACAACAACAACAACAAAATGCTGGCATTAAAGCATTAAACTACTTTCTGTAATTTATGGGATATATATGTATATATATGGGCCTATACGTTTATAAGGACTGTGAGGGATAAAAATACTATAAAACTTTCCATAATTTAAATATCAGCATATATTTAACAGGATTGTGGAGGGAAAGAACTTTAATTTGTTTTGTTTTTTTGAAAAAAAAAAAAAAAAAAAATGCTGTCATTAAAGCAAAACAGAGACACAACACAAACACTCAGGAATTTGGGAAAAAAAGTAAAAAAAACAGATTTGGAAAAATACTAATTATGTATAAAATGATAATGATAATAAAAAAAATGATTATTTATATAGTTATATATTTATAAGTTATATAGGCTTTTTCATTTTTCAGGATTCTGAAAAAAAAATCATTTTGGGGGAAAAAAATATTTTATTAAAGCAAAATCAAGGCAAATCAAATACTATACAACTTTCTGTAATTTATGGGTTGTAGACCTACAAGTTTATCACTAAAACCAACATTTGGTCCTAAAATGGTTAGCCCCTACTTAGTTATAGTTAAATCTGCAGCCCTGTTTTCCATGATGGTGTATTTAATTTGATATTCAAACAGTCATCAGAATTCAGTCCAAAGTTCTAATGCTGCAACATGAAAAAATAAAACCTTCTTTTTGACTTTCTGAGGTGAATAAACAACATTCTTAAGATGAATCACCTCTTTTCACTGTTGAAAACTATTTATAACAGTTGAGATCGACATAAAAAGATATTATTTGGCACTATATATTTGAGGAAAGACTCATTATTTCTCTGAAGTAAACGCTGCACACTGGTGTTCTGGTGAGATGTTTGTGAGCTGTTCTTCTGACCGCATCTACTCAACAAACAAAACACTGAGCCACATCACTCTCCAGACCTGTTCATTTATAACAATCCTAAATAACACAGTCCATGTTTCTCTGTCAAAATATAAATAATTTAATGCAATTTAAATGGCAAGATTTGTTTGCTTAATTCAAATCTACCACAGTTGAATTTGGTGAGGTTCACAACTAAAGATAAAGACACACTGAATATCAGCTTAAAGAAGGAAATGTTGGTGAGACTGACAAAGTCCACTAGATGGAAGCGCGCACTAACAGAAAACACACAGACTGAAGTAGATTCATGTCATCAAATCCCCCACAATTCATTTCTCTAGCAGTGATTTTTTTATATTGGTCTCAAACATCCATTCAGCAGCAATAACAACACACTGACACACATTAAGAAGAAAACCACTGTATAAAAAGTTTGAAAAAAAGTAGTTTTTCATAATGTCAAAACAATATTTTTAAATGCTACCTTTTATTATAATTTTTTTATGTTTCATGAATGCGTTTGTGTTTCTTAATTTTCTTATAATTTAAATTAGGCTGAAATGTCCCTTATAAGGTTAATAATAATAGCAGGTTCCCAACAAGGTTATTATCTATAACTAAAACTAAAACCATAAACATCATTGTTATTACTTCAAATAAAATAAAAATGAACTGAAATAAACTTAAATATAATATTTTTGTTTAGTTTAAGTAGTATAATTAAAGGAAAACATAATAAAAAAAACTATTTAAACATATAAAAAAAAAAACATTAAATTACTTAAGTTTGAAATGAAGCAATACAATTACTAACTACAAATAAAACAAAAACCTAAACTAAAAGGGATTTATAAATAAAATAAACAGTAATTAAAAAACTAATAAATATGACAAAAGCCCAACAAAATTGCTAAAATTAACTAAAAGTTGAATGAAAACAGGAAAATATAAAATATCTATTTTTTTTTTTCAAAATATTAACAAAAATTAAAATATATTAAAAATAAAAAAATAAAAAACACTGGTTCCCAATGTCAACTTACCCCATATAATATGGTAAATTATAATGTGACGAACGTCAATATATACAGACACTTCATATTTTCTCATATTTAATAGTATATGATGCTTTGTTAATTGCATTTAATATATTATACTTTCAGTAAAACATTTGCATTGGGTTTGTAAAGGCTAATTTTACGCATGTTTTGGCGTGAGTTTTTGTTGCATTTGCACAGTTTTGACCAGCAGGCGTCACCAGCGTGCAGAGCTTCGAAACAGTGAATCATTTTGCGAAGCAAAAGGTTCAATTGATTCGAAGCTTCGAAAAGGTTCGTTTCTCCCATGCATCAGTACAGAGTCGACGTACTTTATGAGAATACACTGAAAAAATGTTTCATTCATCCAATTAAAAAAATATTTACCCTTGGGGCAAGTTATTTATTTGTCATTTGCTCAAGTTAAAAAATATAGATGTGAATCATTCCCCTAAATTTTTTTAAACATTTTTTTCAGTGTAACAACACATACACTACCAGTCAAAAGTTTTTGAACAGTAAGATTTGTAATGTTTTTTAAAGAATTCTCTTCTGCTCACCAACCTGCATTTATTTGATCCAAAACACAGCAAAAAAAAATAAATAAATATATATATATATTGTGAAATGTTTTTTACTATTTAAAATAACTGCTTTCTATTTGAATATATTTTAAAATGTAATTTATTCTTGTGATTTCAACGCTGATTTTTTTCAGCATCATTACTCCAGTCTTCAGTGTCACATGATCCTTCAGAATCATTCTAATATTCTGATTTGCTGCTAAAAAAACATTTATTATTATTAATATTTAAAACAGTTGAGTTTTTTTTTTCAGGACACTTTGATGAATAGAAAGATCCAAAGATAAGCATTTATCTGAAATAAAAAAGCTGTTGTAACATTATACACTCTATCATTCAAAAGCTTGGAGTCAGTATAATTGGGGGTGGGGGGGAAGAAATTATAGAAATTAATAGTTTTATTTAGCAAGGATGCTTTAAATTGATCAAAAGGGATGATAAAGACATTTATAATGTTACAAAAGATTTGTATTTCAGATAAATGCTGTTCTTTTGATCTTTCTATTCATCAAAGAATCCTGAAAAAATCTTCTCAGCTGTTCTCAACATTGCTAATAATCAGAAATGTTTCTTGAGCAGCAGATCAGCATATTAGAATGATTTCTGAAGATCATGTGACACTGAAGACTGGAGAAATGATGCTGAAAATACAGCTGCGCATCACAGAAATAAATTACATGTTAAAATATATTTAAATAGAAAGCTTATTTAGCAAGGATGCTTTAAATTGATCAAAAGGGATGATAAAGACATTTATAATGTTACAAAAGATTTGTATTTCAGATAAATGCTGTTCTTTTGATCTTTCTATTCATCAAAGAATCCTGAAAAAATCTTCTCAGCTGTTCTCAACATTGCTAATAATCAGAAATGTTTCTTGAGCAGCAGATCAGCATATTAGAATGATTTCTGAAGATCATGTGACACTGAAGACTGGAGAAATGATGCTGAAAATACAGCTGCGCATCACAGAAATAAATTACATGTTAAAATATATTTAAATAGAAAGCAGTTATTTTAAATAGTAAAAATATTTCACAATTTTACTGCTTTTGCAGTGTTTTGGAAATGCAGACTTGGTGAGCAGAAGAGACTTCTTTCAAAAACATTAAAAATCTTACTGTTCAAAAACTTTTGACTGGTAGTGTATATAACCAAACAAGGAATTGTGAAACACAAAACATTAACAGAGCATCGTTTGCCACAGCATATTCAGTATTACTTGATTTCACATTCCTTGTATGTGTCACTCAGTCAAATCCCAGCGAGGACTTGCAAAGCCAAATATGGCCAGAGCTGCTGATAGCGTAACGTGACACTGGGAGCAGGAATAGAAATGAGCTGGAAGCCCCCCTCACAGCCTCCATAAGAGCAGAGAGCCGAGCAGACACTCACACTCCCTCAGCAGAAGAGACTCAGATACAGTTTAGACTACAGTAAGTATCAAACATTACATTGAGTATTTACTTGTGTGTCTAAAAGTGCCAAATGTGTAAAACAAACCACAAGCAGAAGCGTTGCTTTCCACCAGGTTTTGGACATTGAATGTACAGTAGCGAATAAACTCTCTGTGTCTTTGGCGCTCCTGGTTGTTTCTCTGTTGAGTTTGTTGAATCAAATCTTCCCCGTGTTTCCTCCCGACATCAAACTAACGCTGCTACGCTTTGAAATTATTTCATTCGTAAATCTAGGTGTCCAGAGCTGCACTGATCTTTGTGTGATTTCACGA